CCCTGTTCAAAAAAAAAAAAAAACGGTGGAAAGGAATTGTTTTGATTGGTGCTAAATTTCCTTATGTTTAATATCCTAGCCCCCACAGTGATACTTTATGACCTGGGTCTTTTGGGAGGTGATTAGGTCACAAGAGGGCAGAATCCCCTATGTGAAATTGGGGATTTAGTGGCCCCCTTGTAAAAGAGGCCTAAAGGAGCTCATTTTTGCCTTCCTTAAAAATAAAAAAAGTTAAAGATCCTTGTCTTAAAGAATCAAACTTAAGATTTATTAGTTGAGGCTTGAAACTGAGTGTTTCTTAAGCATCTTATCTAAATTGTTGGACATTTTACCAATCTTGAAGGCAGAAAGATAGCAAAAAGCCTGACAAAATATTTTTAAAAATTCTTATTTTTAAAGCAGTATACATATTTTTAAAAGACAGTTTTTCAAACACATTTGTAAGTAAAACTAAGATAAATTTATGAGTCATTAAAATTTATCTTAAATATTACATGTTTTTAAACATTAATTTTGAGTTACATTAAAATGTTAACAAATGCTATATTAACGTGATGAAATAAGAATGGTAACAAGAAGCCTTGTTAATGAATAGACTTTATATTTTTCTAATCACAGTACACATTCACCAAGCTGTAACTCATTCTAATAATTGCAGATCCTCTGTTCATATAATTGTAGGGAAAATATCTGAGCAAAAGAAGAGCAAAGGGACTTCTTACATGGCAGTGGGCAACAGAGGACTTGTGCAGGGGAGCTTCTTTTTATAAAACCATCAGATCTCGTGAGACTGATTCACTATCACCAGAACAGCACGGGAAAGACCTGCCCCTATGATCTAATTACCTCCTACCCATCCCTCCCATGACATGTGGGAATTCTGGGAGCTACAATTCAAGGTGAGATTTGGGTGGGGACACAGCCAAACCATATCAAGGATATTACAGTTTCGTCTGCCTCCCTTTCTTCACTTACCAATGTATCCTAGAGATTATTCCATAGTAGTGCATCAAGATTCTTCATTGCTATTTACAGATATATAGATATCCATTGTGTGGAGGTACATTTAATTTTCTTTTTAAAAATAAATTTGGATCTTACTGTATATAGAATTTTCTGTCTTTTCATTAAGCATTTCTTTAAGTATTAAGCATTTCTCTGTTAAAAATGATTATTTTTATTTTTTATTTTTTTGAGATGGAGTCTTACTCTGTCACCCAGGGTGGAGTGCAGTGGCACAATCTCGGCTCACTGCAGCCTCTGCCTCCCAGGTTCAAGCAATTCTCCTGCCTCAGCCTCCCGAGTAATGGGATTACAGGCACACATCACCATGCCAAGCTAATTTTTATATTTTTAGTAGAGCTGGGGTTTCGCCATATTGGTCAGGCTGGTCTCGAATTCCCAACCACAGGTGATCTGCCCGCCTCAGCCTCCCAAAGTGCTGGGATTACAGGTGTGAGCCACTGCGCCTGGCAAGAAATGGTTTTTTTAATGGCTGCATATTATTCATATTCATATGTCTGCATGAGGAAGCACAAAATTTATTTTAAAATTCCCCAATTGTGTCTCCATATGGGTGTGTGTTTGCTGTGACCAGGGGATCTTGAAGTCTCTTCTGTTAGATTTCTCAGCTAGCTGCAATAGCCATGCCTATGTTCTGTGTATTCTTTTTGAAGTTTCCTGGAACTCCATAGAAAAAAGGAAAAGAACTCTTTTTTCTTCTTTACAAAGGGATAATTTTCTTTCTTCCATCCTCCAAATCCCAGTTCTCAGTGATACCAACATAATTCATCAGATGAATTATCCAACTCGTCCAGCTCCATCCAAACTCCTCACCCCCCAGTATTCTTCTCCTGTCTCTCAGTGATCTCAAGGTTCCTGGGGAATCTAAATTGCCTACTTGTCATAAAATAGTTAAAGATCAGGCTGGGTGTAGTGGCTCACACCTGTAATCGTAACACTTTGGGAGGCCAAGGCAGGAGGACTGCTTGAGCCCAGGAGTTTGAGACCAGCCTGGACAACACAGTGAGACCCCGTCTCTACAAAAATTTTAAAAGTTAGCTGG